CCTTCCTTCCTTCCTTCCTTCCTTCCTTCCTTCCTTCCTTCCTTCCTTCCTTCCTTCCTTCCTTCCTTCCATAAATTGAAATGAAGCACTATTGAAAAGAATAGCTTACAGCCAACCCAGAATCAAGCACCACTTTACTATACTCAGCAAATAGCTTCTGGCCTAATAACGAACAGTGTTGTAGCACTGTTTTATCTGTAGGTTAGTCTCAGACCTAAGGGGAATTATGCTGACTCTCATTAGAAATAACAAATTGGTTTGCCAGCAATCTCAGAAATAACTTTATGTTGTTTTAACAGGCTGTGAAATCTGCAGTACAGACCCTCGCTGTTGGGGGAATGAGTACTTCTCAATTTAAGACGATAATTCCCTTGGCAACGGCACCCAATGTTCAGCAAATTCAGGTACCTGGAAGCAAATTCCATTATGTCCGGCTTGTAACTGCCACAACTGCCAATAGCACAGCACAACCAGCCAATCAGAATCCCAGCACCAGCACTGCACCCCTCCAGCAAGGTTAGAAGTGTCCTTATTTGAATATGTTTATGATAATTGGAACTTGCTTAAGGAAAATGCAAATAGGAAGCTATAAAGGGGATTTGACAAGAATGGCGAATTGTAACAGATGCTTTGTGCAAGCTGAAAGCCTACTGCTGAGCTGGAAATGGTTCTGTATTTTATAATAGTTTTAGGATTTATGGTTGAAACGTGATTATTTGTTATTGATCGATGCTTAGTTGGAGAATGCCTCTGTTTCATTCAGAATTAGATTATGACCATAGTTTGCTTGTCTTATTCACGTGATCAGAACTTTTGGTGTTTTAGAATTAGAATAATTTTGTGTTGCATTATTTTTCATGGTTTGTGTAGATATTAACCAACCTTGTGATAAAGATTTGATATTTATGTTCGCTTTTATTTAAAGTTCTGAAAGTTTTTCTTTTAAAAATAGACCATTTAGCAAAATGGGTATAAAGATTTATTGATTAATTTCATAACAGCACTTTGAACCATTACCCAGTTACATTATTTTGTCACTTAATTTTCAATTAGTATGTTTGCAAGTGGGATTTGCATCAGAATGTTGCAGTGTACCGTGATGTCCCTCCAGGTTGCTTCATTTTGCTTCCCCTCCCAGTTTTCCATTCTCCCCATCACTGTGACCACTTCATGGCCACTGGACACATTTTGTCTTCATTGGAATGGGATGGTTGATGGAGGAGGTCCCCTACTCAGGTTGGGTCTGAAATCTTGGTGTTTCTGCATGCCTCGGAACTCTCTTAAGCCTGCTTGTGAATGATCAACAGGCTCCATAGAACAAACCACGACAATGTAGAGTGCTTCCAAGCATTCCTATACACCCGTGCAGCACAGCGAGTTTTCCCCCTTCTCTTTCTGTACTTTTCCCTTTCTGGGGCAAGTTTGTCATTTAGCTGCATTGGAGGTCTCCCCTCTAGGATTTTCTCTGTTATTTTTCTAAAGCCATCTGCAACCTTTGGTCCCCCAAGCCTACTAATATTATCATAGTGACATAAGCAAACATTCGTGGGAAACAAAATTGGAATTAGAATATATCATCCTAAAATCAGCTCAGAGCTGCTTTGACCTATTTTTACGTTAAAGTTACCAAAATAAATGGAATGTATATGTTTCTGTGGAAATTATATTGCCACGTTCAAAATGCATATATGCACTATTTACTTATTTTGTTTCCCTGACATTAAATTCTAAATGAAATTGTATCTGGCTTTTATAACAAGCATGTTGCAGTTCATGACATTTTTCTGTAGCTACTTACATATGGACAGGAATTGCCTTTCTCCAACACTGTGACATGCTGGGTAGCATTTCTTGCTGAAGATGGCATAGCTCAAGATGGACCTACCAGCTTACTTTCTACTAGATGAGAATGAGGGAGGACTGGCTAACTAACGAAGCTGCCTACCCTTTTCTTAATGTCTTAGTCTAGAAAGTTGCATATTGTATCTGATGCCATTTCTTTTGAACAGCAAAGCCAGTGGTGGTGAATGCAACCCCCGTACGGATGTCTGTCCCAATTATTCCAGCAACGCAGACAGTCAAACAAGTGAGTTCCACGTGCACCAACTTCATATGAATCCCTAGTTTTTCACAGAAGTTTTCAGTTAGTTCAACTCTCTGACTATCCTTACAAAGTTATTTGCTGCAAAAGATGATAATTTGGTATATAAGAAAGATATCCTGAGTATTTCCTTCCTTGCAGGTGGCACCCAAACCAATGAACACAACTTCACAGATAGTTACCACAAGCCAGCCACAGCAAAGACTTATTATGCCTGCCACACCACTGCCACAAATCCAACCCAACCTCACCAACCTTCCCCCTGGCACTGTCCTAGCCCCTGCTCCTGGCACAGGAAATGTGGGATATGCCTTTCTCCCAGCTCAATATGTTACACAGGTATGGTGTTGCTGTGGGAAGCAATTGATAAGAACAATTAGGACTATTTAGTGTTTATAACTAATACTCTTAGAGGAGGGACTAGAAAGTTTGTGTACTTGGTAGTTTAAGGCAGTGTTTCTCAACCTTCTGAATCTCTTCAGCATGGCTGGCTGGGGAATTCTGGGAGTTGAAGTCCACACATCTTAAAGTTGCTAAGATTGAGAAATGCTGGTTTAAGGGATGTGATTTCAGATAACTCTGAAATATTCTTTCATCTACTGTATATTATTAAAAATGTAAATCACTTTGGTACTCAAGTGATAAAATAGTTTTTTGGTTTTCAAATTTCTGTGAGGGGGATTTACTTGGTAGAAACAAAAAGAAAGGGCGAGGGCACCTTGAATTAATATTGGAAACACAGTTTATTCTGTTATTTGGAAGCAGGTGTAACAGTTTCCTCTGTTTTCCACAATAAAACTTTTGGGATTCTCTCACTTGTATTTCAAACATAATTTGGAGGGCAGCCAGGTTGTGTAAAAGATGCAGAAGGTATTTATTGCACATTTTGAATGAACGCTTGGATCAGTTTTCATTTTGTTTTTGTTTTTAAGATGCTTATCATTCTGATGTTACTTAATCTTAAATTTATTGGGCAGAGGGGGGTATCATAAAATGAATTTCAGAAGACCTGTAAAGAAATCTTTGGTAGAAATCCACTAACAGCAGTAAGGGATCCAAAGCAAATAGCGGAGCTACAGAGGAACTATAACATTATTGTAAAAGACAGTGCTGGGAACAGGATGTACTGTGCTCAGCATAGGATTCCTCTTAGTTTTCTACATTTTATCTACCTGTGGAATTTTGACCTACTAAAGCAAAAGTGCTTTGACAGCACAAATTGCAAATCAGTGTAGTATTATAATTGATTTTTTACATATTTTTAGTCAAGCAGGCTGTTATTTTAAGTGACTTCTGTTGAAATTGCCTAGCTCTTTTTTACTTTAAAGTCAAGCTTTTATCAAGTCATAATTAAAGACTACAAATACAATACAAGAGGTTGGAATATCCATATAGGCATAATGAATTTGAAGATAACATTCAAGATGTTTCTAGAAAGAATGAAAGCCATACTGCCTAAAAATAGCAATGAACAACATCATCTTCCAAGCATGGAAAAAGAAGACTGTGTGATTAATGTAGCTATTTGTGAAAGTCCTCATCTACAAACAGCATGTCATGCACTATCTCTGTGTGTTTTTTAAGCTACAGCAGCCATCCTGTGTCTCCATAGCAAGCAGTACTAGTCTTAGTGGGACATCCAGTATCCAGACCCAAGCCCGACTTCCATTCAATGGGTGGGTATTGTCTACATAAATTGTGCAACATGTATATTACATGGAAGGAGATGGGATTGGGAAAACTGCTTAATGTTCAGCCACTAAAGAACAGCTGTTGCAATCATAGTGTACTTTCCAAGGCCAGGAAATTATTTATTTCCAGAGCAGTGATATTGAAGATTTTCCTTCTTTGCTTTGTATATGGCCTGGCTGCCTGGTTAAGTTGTATGTTAATGATTTGGTTAACAGTTTCATCCCAAACGCTCAAGGCAGAAAACAATTTGAAAACGTGCCATTAAAAATAGATACAGAGAGAGGATTTTACAAATATTAGACTATAACCTTTGCAGCCATCTATTAGACTTGGTCTTTGTACAGAAGAATCCAATAAAAGAAGACCCAGTCCATGCAGCTTATTTTTGCATCATATTTTCCTGGTGATGCAGAGTCTTTAAATTTATAAATTTTAGCGGCAGTAAAGTAGCATATATGGGATTGCCTTTCCCTATTTCTTAGAGAAAGGGACACTTTGTAGTTACCACCTGAACAAGTTTCTTTTTAGAGTGTGCAAATGTGCATGACTTTCAAAAGAGGTCACCTATGAATTTTGGATTGTTATGAATGTGGGCATACTTGCTAACTGGATAGAGGTAATCCAAAAGTAATGACTCATGTGGAGACTTAGTAAGAAGCTATCATCTGAGAACAGTGCCTATTTGGAATGGTTGAATGACTAATTGCACCTGATTCTCATCTAAATATGTGTCCTACTGAAAGGAGCCCAGGGGATAAAGCCAGAGCAGATAGCCTCTGCTTTACTGGGTGTCTTAGAGAATTTGTTTCTCACAACGCATCAGCATTGTTCTTCTGATATGTTCATCTGTTGGGGCCTTTTGCTCAATATCTGTCGATGATGCTTCTGTTCTCTGGTTGTGAAATGTGTAAAGTTGGCTTGAGTGGGCTAAATTGTGAAGGATATTATATTGTTCAACGGAAAAGACAATTCAGCAGGAAAGTTATATTCTCCTTTGGAAAATAAAATCATACTGAAATCTGTTTTCTAGGATAATCTCCTCTGAATCTGCAAATCGTCCAAGAAAGCCTTGCAACTGTACAAAATCACTGTGTCTTAAACTGTGAGTATAATATATGTAACCTCTTCAAAAGTTTAAAAGCCCACCTTTCTGTATATTAGAAGAAAATCTGGACGAACAAATGAAAGCCACAATTTCCCAGGGATTCCACTTTTACAATTATTCTCTAAACTTACTAAATATCAGATAATACTGTGCATTTGCATGATTGAAGTAGGCATCTTTGTGGAACGATCTACAGCTGAATGATTCAGACTTAGAGGCAAATCATCAGTGAATCTGGTTTGCACAATGGGGGGTACAAGCAAATTTCTTTTTCTGATATCCACAAGCTGTCCCCAGCATGAATTCATGGCTCCTAAACTGAAGGAAACCTACTTTTTCCTTTAGGAACAGTCCATATTAGCTTATTTCCTTATTTTTGTATTGATTTTATCAATTTATATGGCTGCCCACTCACCAAAGTGACTCTGGGTAGCTAACAAAACGTTAAAAACAATAATGAACAGAAATAGTATTTTTAAAAAAGACATAAAAGCTGGCTGCCAACCACATTATATCATTTCCCAAGATGGGCACAGCTAACATTCCGGGCCAAATGCCTGTGGAAAACTCAGGTTTTTAATGCCTTACAAAAGCCTGGCAAGGTTGGAGTCAATTGAATCGGGAGGAGGAGACAGGAGGGGACCGTTCCAGCTCCATGTGAGGTGAATGTCAAAAGCCTTTTCTTTAGAGGCAACCCATGTTTCTGGTCTTCAATTTATTTGTCCCTTTGAAGGGCCTGGACATTTTTTTAAGGCTCATGATGACATGTTGGAGTTCCTGTTAAACCCAAGAATAACATGCTCATGCTCGTGAGTAGAGGAAACAGTACACCCCATATGTTCATCTTTGTATATGTTTGGGCAGTTCATTCAAATAAAGTCCAGCAGGTTGTGACCCTCCCTTTCCATTCAGAAGTTTCTTCCAACACTTATGGGATTCTGTTTGGTTGGATGCAGAAGTGGGTAGAGGATGGAAAGTAGTCAGAAACCCTGCTCTGAACTGAGCCCAATATGGTCAAGTGTCCTTAGAGGTGGGTTTTGTTTTGTTTTTTTTAACAGATACTGTGATTGCTTTGCAAATGGGGAGTTCTGCAACAACTGCAACTGTACAAATTGCTATAACAACCTGGACCATGAAAATGATAGGCAAAAAGCAATCAAGGTAAGATTTGTTTAAAAAATAATAATCCTGTGCCACAAGCAGGGGGAACCTGGTGAAGTCCATTTCTCAGGTTCTCTGTACCCATGAATTTCTTCCTGAACAGTGGGTGGAAGGCACAATTGTTGCCTTTGCTAGATTAGATGGAAGTTTCTGCCAGTTTTTCTTGCAAAGGGCAGAAGTTGAATCTCTAGCATTTTGTTTCTTTGTGATGGATCTCTCTCTTTACATTTACTTTGTTAGGCCTGCCTGGACAGAAATCCTGAAGCCTTTAAGCCTAAAATAGGGAAGGGAAAGGAAGGCGAGTCGGACAGGCGGCACAGCAAAGGTTGTAACTGCAAAAGGTCTGGGTGCCTCAAAAATTACTGCGAATGCTATGAGGTAAAAAGGAGCTTTTTGTTGATTTCTTTGTTCAGTCTTGTGAAATCAAGTATTTCAAAAATCTAACTTTTTAGTTCTAAAATTTACATGAAATACTAATACCTGTTAAAAATCCAGAGTTAAGTAGGTGTTCAGTCAACTAGTTAAATAAATATATCTTCAGTGCTTCTAAAAAATTCCTAACATTAATTGATCTTCTTAAGGGAGACAATTCTACTGTCTCACTTCTACAGAGGCCTTCCACCATACTTTCCCTATTTAATAATCCTTTCTGTGTATTTGATAGTGACTGTTTTTCAGGGTTTTCCAGCTTCTATTCTGATAACTTACTTGAATTACTTTAATGAATATCATTTCTATAATAGAAGCTTCATAGTTGTAGGCTTTGAAGGTAAAAACTGTACCGCCTTTTAAAAGTGATCTTATATTCTAGTCGAGCAATAGGTAGAAAAATCTTCCTATGGAAGATGGGATAATATTTCATATTAGTAAGGTTTTCAGGAACAATAATGTATCTTTAATTGATTTAATTCAATTTTATTTCCTTCTGTCCTTACGAGGTTAGTAATAGCTTTTTTTTTTTTTTTGGTTAGCCTATTAGTATTATCTTTCTATACTATTTGTCAAAGTGCTTATGCTATAATCCTAAAATCCTAGCCATATCTTTGATTATAAAAAAAAGGTCCAAGAGCAATCAAGAAAGCCATTCTGTGAAGGTTTGCTATATCAAGGTCATACACATCCAGAAGTTCCTTAAGGGTAAACGTGTTACTGTATCAGGAATGGGATAGAAAATGGAAATCTATATTATTTTGAGCTGGAAATCAGATATTTTTATCTTAAAGCACGTTTATAGCATTCATCTTTGTGTTTCGGAAGAATGCATAATCTAAAAGTATTTTGTAATAAAATCATAACCAGCAAAACTAAATAAGAGCAATAGCAGACTAAAATAATATCTAAATGGAGAAATTGTCTTCAGTTAAGGAGATTGTGATGGAGGTGCCAGATAGATGTGTGCAGAGGAGAAGAGTCGTTGAACTTCTGTAGGTCAGAAAATCTCTTAAGCAATCTCTAGCTTAGAAAAGCTCTAGAAAATCTTAATGCGCACAGTTGGGTTGAAAGAAAGATCATTGTCACAATACTGAATTATCATGGATTTGCTAGTAGTTAGCTGGCTGAGGTTACACTGAAAGTGAAGCTTCAGAGGCAATACATTTGAACCTAGCAACACTTTATACTGTAAATTCCATGCAGTTCTGCAAAACACAGTGAAAGTAGATTTGGTTGACTTTTGACTTCTCACTGTTGTAGGCAAAGATCATGTGTTCTTCAATCTGCAAATGTATCGGCTGCAAGAATTTTGAAGAAAGCCCAGAACGGAAAACGCTGATGCATTTGGCTGATGCTGCTGAAGTGCGAGTCCAACAGCAGACAGCTGCAAAGACAAAACTATCTTCACAGATTTCAGATCTCCTAACGAGGCCAGCCCCAGTGCTGACAAGTGGAGGGGGAAGGTGTGTTCGCTTCTGGTTTGTTAACTTTGTACCGCTTCTTGCATGCAAATTAGATTTTGAGAGGAGGGCTGCCCCTCCATGTGCCTAAGCTTTTTCTTTTCTCTCCTCCCCTTGCTAGCTGCTAAACTCTTTTCTTCTTTTTATAAGAACTTTATTAAGTTATAAAAAGCATACAGGTAAAAGCAAACAAGAACTAATAATCAGAAAGAACAGTAGAGAACGAAAGAGTTAAAGATAAAGAAGGAATACAGAAGTGATGAAAATTAAAGAAAAGGGAAAAAAAGAAAAATTACAAAAAGAATGACTTCCAACCTCTTATACAGCAGATATAGATAAATCATATAGTGACCTCTCACTCTTAAACTACATCTTAACATACATATTTTGTATAATCTATTATTTTAACTAATCATCAAATCCATAAATCTTGATTTCATTTTTTTCTGTCTCCTGATGACTTCCAACCTCTTATACAGCAGATATAGATAAATCATATAGTGACCTCTCACTCTTAAACTACATCTTAACATACATATTTTGTATAATCTATTATTTTAACTAATCATCAAATCCATAAATCTTGATTTCATTTTTTTCTGTCTCCTGCAAAAAGTCCAAAAGGGGCTTCCAACTGGCAATAAAATTATTCAATGCTTTTTCTCTAAGCAAAGCTGTCAATTTTGCCATCTCAGCTAACTCCATCATCTTCACAATCCATTCTTCCATTGTAGGTAATATTGAGTCTTTCCACCTTTGAGCATATAAAAGTCTAGCTGCAGTTATCTTATATAGAAAATGTCCATGAGCTTTTTCCAATTGTTTGTCCATCGGTCCCAGAAGGAAAACCTCTGGTTTTAACTGTATATTAACCTTCAAGATCTTCTGAATTAATATATGAATTTGAGTCCAAAATTTTCTAGCCTTATTACATGTCCACCAAAGATGATAAAAAAATCCCTTCTTGTTGTTCACATTTCCAACCTATATTTGAAACCCCTTTATACTTTTATTTTCTTTCATTGCTTCTGCTGTTACTGATCATGAGAGTGAAATACTGTGTCATAGATTAATGGATGCTGATACACGGTTTTTCCAACTGTAGGTTTAAAGGTCCAGTACCTTTAAACCTGAAGAAAGAGCTGTTGAACTGATTAATTAAAATCTATATATGGCTGGATGGATAGATCTTAAGAGGAAAGAGAAAAGGAAGTGAAATACAATTCAAATGCATTGGCACTGCAAAGAATCACATCTCTAAATCTTCTTCTTGCTGTTTGTGGATCGCTTGGTGTATTTGTTAACCAAAAGTGTGGTTGTTGCAACTGTATTGCATGGAAACAGCTTATGCTTCTTCTCTTCCCAGGTTGCCCTTTACATTTGTAACAAAGGAGGTTGCTGATGCGACATGTGACTGTTTACTTGCACAGGCTGAACAGGCCGAGAAAGCAGGAAAATCAAAAGCAGTAGCAGAACGGATGATTCTAGAGGAATTTGGACGTTGTCTAATGAGAATCATTAACTCGGCAGGAAAGTCCAAAAGTGATCCTTGTGCCATGAACTGCTGATTCTTGAAAATGGGCTTTACTCTAACCGGGACACTAAAAGGCACACGGACACTTTCTGGTTCACAGCAGCATTCTTCGTTCGTTAACTGGTGCTGTGAAGTTTCCACTGGTGTATGTTAATATAGAAACTTTGTAATGATGCTTATCCTTTTAGCTTAACTTTCTTTTACTTCACAAAGACAGTATGTATTTTATTCTCAACCTCTAAACAACATGGGACAGTGCGAAGTTTAGATGGTTTCCTTCCCTTTGTTCTCTTTAAAAGGGTGTTATTGAAGCAATTCTTTAAATTATTATTTGCAATTGATACTTTTGACTGTTGCATTTAGGAGGAGGAGAAAGAAACTAGCCAGTGTATCAGGAGCAACTCTTGTGCAAATCTAATTGAAATGCCTGGGTGTTCTTATAAGAACAATATCGGTATAGTGGATAGATTTTTCCAGTCCATTCAATCAGCATCATAACGCAGATTTTATTTGCATCAATATAGGCAGTGGTACATCTGTGGATGAGTTAATGCTAACTGGAAATCATTAAAATAAATACTTGCTGAAAAACAACTGAGAAAGAAATGCAAATTTAACAGTTGTCTTGTTGACCACAGTCTGATTTCAGTGACAGTGCCTTGTCTGTTGATCTTAAAATATTAACACCATAGCAGTGATAGCTGCAGATATATAACATTGATACACAAAAATCAAGGTCATAATTGATATCTTAGATTAATCATTTTGATATGTTTTTAAAAATATATCACTGTAATATATATTCCAAATTTTAATGACATTTTCATGTCTTTGGCTTTCAAGGTGATCGATATTTTATTTGACAAACGTCAGTGTAATTAGATTTTTAACATTTCTGCTATATGCCCTTTGGCAAAATGAGGACAAACCTGTCTCTTGTTTATCTAGAATCTAGCTATTGTTATCCAGTCAACTGTTGAGTTTCCCAGGTCCTTGAAATACTCCAGTAGACGAATAAAAAAAAAACAACTTAATTAATTTAAGCTTAATTTATATTTGTAGTGTCTAAGCTTTACTCATACTGAAGCCAGGAATATGTGGAAATAAATCCACGATCATGCCCATATTTGTTGATATAAGCAATACTGGGGATATTTGTAATCTAAAGAGCACTTGGCAGTACTTCTTCTTTAATGCTAAGGGGGTCACAGGATAATCTTTAGTTTAGCCTTCCCCAAACCTGGGTTTCTTCCCAATGTGTGGACTTCAACTCACAAAATTCCCCATCACTGAGAATTCCAGAAACCCATATGTCTGGAAGTGCCAAAACTGGAGGCTACCTTAAGTCACATAAAATGGCCAATATTGTTATTTTACTATCTGGGATTCCAAGACAAGCAAACCCTAGCAATTCTTTTGGGTCTCTTGAGTTTCTCAACTTTGCCTCCACTCCAGATTATACATGGTGAAATTGCTGTTGAAAAGAGGATCTTAAATGGGAAGGAAGAAGTCAGTATGTTTCCCAATGTCTTACGGTCCTCCTCCGTTGTCAGTGAATTACTTAGACGTAGCTAATCTGCTGCCATTATAAAAGCTGTGTGGGTTTGTTTTAAATTGTGCACAGTGCAGTGTGGAGGGTGCATTTTTTGAAGGCTGAGGTGACTTTTTTTTTTTAACTGTATGATTGTCATTTACAGGTTTCAGTAGGATGAACACTGTGGCCACCATGCAATAATGGTACACTTTGTACTTACCTATGTCCGTGACCTTTCACGCACCTACTTCAGTCTGTTGGGCTATGGTTGAAGTGGATAAGACAGTGGAAGTTTTGTTCAGAGAGCCGCATCTGCCTGTGCAGCAAGGTAGATCCATCCCATGAAAATGCGTATTTCAACTGAAGAGGGAGGGGAGGGTATTGAGGTGGTGAGTCTCTTCTTCTTCAGCAAAGAGCAAGCATTAGTCCCAGTAAGTATTCAACTGAGATGTTCTTTTAGCAGTGTTCAAACCTATTTCAAGCTGTATGTATTCCTTTTGTTCTTGTATCTGCTTAGTTTATATTTGAAAGATATATTTTAAAAGTACACTCTTAGGACTTTTGTCTTAGGACAAAAACTTAAGAGATTTCCTTGGGAAAAGGAAAAAAGAGTGGAATAACATTATTTGGATGGAACTGCTTAGAGGAAAGAATCTTTGTAATAAATATTATTAAAATGCAAAACACAACTGCATGCTTTTTAGTGCAGAAATTGTTAAATGAATTTGTGAATATCTAAGTTCCATGTTTGAATTAGCAAGCACCTGCTAGATAATGTAGCCTGCTCTGTAATTATAGTGCTGCAATTTTTTTTAAATGGTTGTTTTCTCCATATAACTGTGGGTGTGTATAGATACATGTATACACACAAACAAGCATTCTATTATATTACGATATGTATGTACATAGCAGACTCGCTTATATGTACACACAACCCTGAAAGGGAAGCTCTTTATTTCAATATAATTGTTTTACAAATAGAATTATTTTTTTGTGGGCGGGAGTCTATGTTAACTTTCTGAGTAGATGAAAACTTGCCTTTTTACTAATTTCATAAATGTTCATACAACAAGATTTGTATAAATGTAAACTAGTGTAAGTGGGTAAAGTAAAACTTGATCAAGTTATTTTTCAAACATATATTGTTTTGTCTAGAATTACATTTGTTTTATTTTGTACATATTCTGTGTCTTATTTTAACTTGCACCTTTTTTGTGATGTGTATTTATAAGTGTGCAGAAAACCTTCTGTGAAGTTTGGATTCTGGTTGTAGATTATGTATGATGGAATTGTGTGTAAAAGATTTGAAGAAGGTGCAATCAAAGAAAACTAGTTTTTTTGTCTCATAAAACAAGCTGTCTCTTCTACATAGCTTGGGTCTTCTCCCCTTTGAATTTTTCAACTTGATCATTTGCATGAAAGTGCTGACAAGTTAGTAAAATACATCAAGATTTTGAGAGCAGCTTATCAAGTTATGCCTGCATTGCGATCCTGTCTGTCAGCTGAGATTCTGCAGTGTTTCTGTCAAAGCCAGATGATGATTAGGAGCTGCCCAGCCAGAGTGCTTTTATATTGCATCCCTTATCAGCAGATTTTGAGATGGGGGAGGGTATTCGGGAAAATTTTCTAGTTATGGTTTACATCCAAAAATAGATTTAAATTTATATTTACTAGACCTATTAAAAATACACTTTTCTATATTGTAAAAACAAATGTCAGAGAAATCAAAGAAAAAATAAAATGTTTATACTATTATGTACAAATTGACAATTGTGTTTTTCTTTGCTAAAGTCAGTAATATAAAGAAATTACTGGATTTCAGTAGCATAACAACTACAACTTGATAGTTCAGTTGTCACTAATCTTTAAAATGTGTCGTTGGAAACTCACTTTTTTTTCAAAATTAAAATTCTCATTTTTGCTTTAATGTTTTCTTTATATAATTTGTTATGTCATTATTGACTCTGATGTTGACATGTAGTCTTCACTTTCACGGGCTCTTTTTTTGTCCTCTAAATTCCCTCTATTAAAACACTGCTTTTCCTTTAAAATATTCCAAAAACAAGGCCTTTTCTAGCTGATCTTTTCTATAATTGTTGAATAGTTAACAAAGCTGCAGCAGGCCAGTGCTGGTTAGTTAAAGCACATTTAATTATAAAAGTCTAGACCAGTGTTTCTCAACCTTGGCCACTTAAGATGTGTGGACTTCAACTCCCAGAATTCTGGGAGTTGAAGTCCACACATCTTCAAGTGACCATGGTTGAGAAACACTGGTCTAGATTATTAGATTGCAAGTTAAGACATTCAAAGAAAATTATTGGGAAAGTATGTAGTACTTTTCTGTAAATATTCAGCTCCAAGTCCTCCTTACGAGGTATGAAACAGCACAGCCTAACCTTACCATCTGTCTGACTATCTCAAGAAGGGTTTGGACTAACCTTAAAAAACAATGTTTTAAAATGCTCATTACCGTACACAAGATTCTTTCATCATACGCTAACTATCCATTCATTTGGGTATATATGCTTCCACTGGGGCCACTGGAAAGTATGTGACTCCATTATAGACTCAGAAACAAAACCTTTAATGCTCTTAGGTGTTCCTACTACATTATTCCCTCCTGAAGTTGTTATAATTGACACTCTTCAGAAAAGTCTACTGTCATCAGGATTAATTCTGATACAATGTCATTAATAGAACCACAATCATGTAGTTGGTTGACATGACATCTCCAAAACTGTTTGATGTCTGAATAGTGTTAAAGAAAGAGGTCTCTTACACTGTTACGTCTCCACAATAGATGGGACCCACTGAGGGACCTGGACTTTAATTTCAGCACAGACCACCTTCATTTAACTCTTAGTCCAACAAGTGCCATAAAGGATCTGCTACAATAGTTTTTGCATTTCAAAAATGTAAGAAATTCAATAGGTGAAGGAAAACCTGAGGATCTTATGTATTCACCTTGTCTTTGAGGGGATGGATATAAGTGAATTAATTTGTTTATTCTAAGGAAATAATACAAGGAATTATCTTGTTCCTTCACCCTGATAACTACCATCAAATTTCTGTAAGGTATTCAGTGAGGTTTTCATCATATAGATTCCCAGTAAGAACTTCATCAAAAAATGGAATATTCCATCTTTCAGATACCACAGAATACCAAATTGTAGATCCTTGAAAGGAAAATCCTTGGAGTATAACTATAGTTTAAATATCTGTGATTTTGTCATTCATAAACAATTGTCAATAGGCTTAGCTGAGATCAAGCTTGGGAAAACTTTTGCCTCCAGGAAAAGTGGTAATAGCTGATTTATAATAGGCACTGAATATAGATCTTGCTTGGATGTTTTATTTAAGACACACTTGTAATCACCGAAACGTGAACACTGCCATGAAGCTTTAAAATGGCATGGTGGGCATCCCAAACTTACATTAAGAGATTCCCTAGTGTTACAAGGTGATTCAGTTCTGCATCTAGATTTAATTCGGACATCTGCATCTGCCTTTTCCACAACTTCTGGAAATTTCATTGCAAGTGATCTTAATTTCTATTAATTTTACATACTCAGTGAAGCTTTCCTCCCTGTGGGGTAAACCAATTTCTCCTCAGAATACTTTTGCAGTCTTCCTTGGCAATAAAGATTACTCTTTGATCAATCCATATGGGATATGTATAGGGTATTTGTCTAGCATTTCATTATGTTGTTATAAAGGCTGAATTATGACATAGAAAGCATCAAGAATATATCCTTCATGTCATGAGAAAAACTCCAGAAGCAGTCAGCTTCTGTTATTCAATCTGGCCCATTTATTTTCACATTTATCGAAACTTCAGAATCTGGTGCCAGTGCAACATCTTATATCTGAACATAATACATTCTGCTCAGAAACTGCAGTATGAGCAATTCAAGTATCTGAATCTTCATCACAATCTTGCAGACCTGAACTGATTTTTGAGTGTCATTCAGTTCCCCTCCCCTCCCTCCCTCCTTTTTTTTTGTTTTTGTTTTTTGCACATAGAACTCTGCATTACAGATTCTGCAAGACAATAAGAAAGCTAAGAAGGAAACAAAAAGACGAGAACACATCGTCTCCAGCAGCCAACACCCAGATAGGCAAGGATTAACATCAGGCAAACAAGCAGAAAACAACACCGTAATCAAGGAACTACCAAGGAGAAAACCACACTCCCATCAAAACTGGGAGGGCAAGCTACTGTATATAAACAGGGAGCAAACCCCACACTCCCTCGCACTGATGATGTTACCTAGTTGGGTAATGAAACGTCTGCAAGCAAGCAACCAAGCTCAGAGAGCACCAAGGACTCCAGTGTAAAATATTCTTCTATGCTTTTATTTTTACTCTCAGATTTCTTTCTGCTTCATTCACCACTTCCCATTGGGCCTCCCTTATTATAGGATCACTTCTTCCTCTATTTCTACACATGCATCATGAATGCCATCTCAGAAAAAAAGCTCTTCTGAGACTGCAATGTTGTTAGTTCCTGTATAGGACTTCATAGCTCCAGATCCAAGTCTAATAGCCCAATCCTATCAGCACCACTAGATGAAGGGATCTTACCAAGAATTTATCTTGCCAAACAACAGAAAGAGGTAGTATTTAAATAAAATAGTATTTCCAAAAACTGTTTAGATCTGAATTAAAAGAAAAATAAAGGTAATCTCTTGCCTTATTTTATTGAAAAATATTTCCTGTCTTGTATAATCTGAAAAGAAACCAAAGTAAAATCACTGGGATATAATCACTGGAATGTAATAGCAAATAATAAACTTGAGTACTAGTCATTAATCAGTATGATTCTTCTAATTTTAAATATTTTATATGTTTCTATGTTACATTAATGTGTGGTTTGCCCCTGTCTATGGTACCCACAGATCCCTGACTAAAACAAATAATGATAAACATATTGTGTTATTCTTTACTAAAAAAAATCTATACAAGAAATATTAAAAGCATCTGATGCTGAAAAATGGAAGGCATAGTTGTTGGGTTTTTTTAATGTTAGCTTTTTCCCATTTTGTATGACTTTTATTTAAATTGTAGACTGGGAATGTACAGACATGTACAGGAAGCAAACATCCTTGTGCAAGGGTAGGTGTTGTTTTTGAGTTAGATATACTCACCTTATTTTGTTTTCAGATTCTTTTAATTTAAAGTAAATAGGAAATTGGCATGCTGCAAAGTACCAGCACCATTATTATTCCCATGAATATACTGTTATTAAAACACTATTGTCAGGTTTAGATTTTCTTTTCTTTTTCCTTTTTTGCTGGGGAGAGGGGTTAATTGTAGCAGGCTTTTAATTATTTTTTATTTTGTTTAAGCCAAATGTTGCCATCATATGCTGGGATATCTGTAATGCAACATCAAAAATATACTAAGGTTCTTATTTCATAGAAAAAATCATTTTTATGAAACCATGATGAGAATTGTAATCTAACACATCTGGAAAGTACCAAGTTTAGGATTCCTATGCTTATTGCCAGTATTTCTATTTTCTTTCTTTTCTTATGGATTCATATGTGTGTTAAGCCATGATATGTTAGCCATGTTTTAAGGAGAACTTCAAACCTAAACTGGCTAGGTTCATACCACACACTGTGTTTACAAACCATAATGAGTGGGATCACCCAACATGCCAAGCCCAAACCAAGCCACATATAATTGAGTAAATGTGAGACATTAAGCCATAATAGGTATTGACATCCCTGGGTTCAGTGCTATATGAACCCAGGCACTGTGGTTTGTAAAGTGGGGTTTATTCTTTAATGCATTCTCTGCCAAATCTGGTTTGTAGTGTGGTGCGACCCGCCTCTTTCACGTCACTGCTGGAACGCTCCTCTCTCAGCTCATCCCGCTGTCCCGGGTCCTGAACTTCCCAGCCAAAGATCTCCAAGGCAATGTTTGACTGCACTTCAGGACTACAGTAGACAGAGGGAGGCCTCTCTTCCGCTCTCAAGAGGATTGCATCCATTTCCCCCACGGAGACAGAAAAATAAGAGTCCCGCTGACCTTCTAAAGGCACTATCAAACTCTTCCTGATTTGACGCCACCATAGACAAATATGGCTGTCCCCTACAATATCTATGCCAGTGTTTTTCAAATTTGGCAACTTTAAGATGTGTGGACTTCAACTTCCATAATTCCCCAGCCAGCATGCATGTCCACATATTTTAAAGTCGCCAAGTTTGAAAAATACTGGTCTACAGTAAGAAGCACCAAACCAAATTTGGGACCGCATGTTACAAGGGCGGCATTCCACATTGTCAGTCACAGCCCAAGGCTGCCTCTGGCAGACCTTGGCTGGTATGGTAAAGCCGAGCGGGGCCAGGCCTAGTTAGGGCTTGGATGGGGGACCACCAGGAAATTCCAGAATCGTTGCATAGCTTGGGAAGTTGAAGCGCCATCCCAGAAGAGGGCAGTGGCTTCTGTATCCTTGTCGAGAAAATTAAAGGGATGTGCCCATGCAGTCAGCCGGAGCGGAGGGCGACTGGAAGAACTCTCTGCTTTAAACGTTGGAGGTGCCATTTCTTGACGGGTCAGTTGAGGCCGCCACGGTCACGGATTCTGCCTTTCCATTGGCTCCCGTTGCGATACCAAATTCGAACCGATGTCCTCTCTCTTGCAGGGAAGCACATAGCTTCCCGCAGGACATTGGCGCCTTGACTTTCTTTGTCTTCCCTATAGCAGAACCCTCGTAAACCCCACCGTCTCCCTGCCAAACGAAAAGCGGAAATGGCACCGGAAGCGCTAAGGAGAACGGCCACGCTCCTTCCTTAGTAACGCGGACACCTGTCTATGGTTATGGAACCGACTCCCCCGCGCCCGCACACCGGAAGCGGAAAAAAGGCATGTGCCAATCAAAGCCAGCGTTTAGTTAGACCAATGGGAGTGCGGCTAGATGGAAGAGGAGGTGGGTTATCCACGGATTCGGGCGCGTGGCTTTCTTTTGCGCGGCGCTTCCGACCGCGGCGTGGCTGCGAGGGGCCGGGGAGAAGTGGGTCCCCGAGCTGGGCCTGGTGGAGCAGAGCGGACCCAGGAAGCCGCCCCCTCGGTGGGAGATTAGTTAGATAACTAGTAGTCAATTAGAAAATTAAAATATCTAATTACAGTAGATATTTTTCCTCTGAATTGCATGCAATCGGTCCGTTGCTGTTGGGGAAGGGAATATTTGAGAGTAACCGCCTCGCTCGTTTCCACGAGGAGAATTCATTCCTTCAGTTCTGGCGAAGGAGGCGAGCATCACGCTCGTGCGAGGGGATGATGGATGTTGTAGTCTGCGCGGGTGGAGGGCACGTGGGTGCGGGCAGCCAACGGACGACCCTGTTTGCTTCCCTACTGCTTTTTTTTGTTTGTTTGTTTTAATTCGCGCCACACACTGTGGCAACCCGAATCCCTGAAGTTAATGGGAACTCTCTAGGTTGTGAGGGGTTTGGGGCAAAGCCTGGCACTAAGTTGAGTTTTTGTGGGTATAGAGGAATCCTCTGAGCCAAGGATTTAGTGTCCTCTTTGGTTTTACGGTAAAACGTGGGAATTAAAGTAGTTAACGCATAATGTGATTAACATTTGATTTGAGGGCTTTTAACCCGCTAGCTGTGGTTTGTGCTTTAGGGATGTACCATTTTACTGTTGGATGGAAAAAAGAAATTGTTAATTCTGTTTTGCTTTCTTAGGAGTTGTTGCACATATGCGATGTTTGGAACATGGAGTCTCAAAATTTGAGGTAAGACTCTTGCTTTTTTTTTCCCCCTAAAGATTCCTGGTCATGTATTAGGTTATGTATTAAATCAGATTTCTTCATAATTGGACAAGATCATTAAAACACTGATAAGGATTTTGATTACAATGAATCTGCCCTTTAATATAACTAAGAGTACATTATGGTTATGTATCATTTCTGTGGAGTTGACACGGTTTATAAAAGATTCTGAATTCTGCCACAAAATTATTATTAATTAGATTTATGTGCTGCCTGGCTCCTAATGATTCTGGCAGTTTACAAATTGTTAAAAACATTTAAAAATACAAAACAACACAACAAAAGAAACAAAGATGGCAGAGAAAACAAACCAGGATTGGGACAAAGAAAAAGAAGGGGTGTAAATTATCCTCACCAAAGGCCTGGGTGAAGAGCCACATGTTCAGGGCCCTTCAAAATACCAATAGGGTGGGGGCTGCTTGGAGCCTCCTTCCAGAGGGCAGACACTATTACAGAGAAGGCATGCTTCCAGGGTTCTGATAGATGGTATCCTTTAATCAAAGGAACCTGGAGCATACCAACTCTGCCAGATCCAATTGGCCAGGCAGATACTATGGGAATAAAATAGTCCTTAAAATATAATTTACTTTTAAAATGCCATTTACTTTTAAAATTTGCATAATCTGTAATGTTGATATTTAGGCTGTTACCTTTGGTTTTTGGTCAGTTTTTCTGTGGTGTTCAATGATTAAAACTTTTTTGCTGTTCACATCATGATTTGCTGTGATTATTATCCATGTAGATGAGGACACCAGATTATGATTTATATCAGTTTTGAACAAACTATAGTTCAACCTATAGATGAAAATATAATTTATACTTTAATATGTATTATTCACAGTACTCTTTTCCCTGCTTTCAGGAAACAAGAAATTTCTCTTAGAGGATAACGAGGTAATCTTAAAATAGTTTGTAAAAGTAGCAGAGAATAAAATAATTGGTCCGCATGAGGGTATAATGACTTGATTCATTGTTAAACTAGGCCACTATGTTGAGCAAACCATATATTTTAATGCTAGTCTATAAAGGTGGATTCATATACAAGTCACCAAAGTGAAACTACATTATAGCTATAGTTTGTTAGCTGCAAAGTAGGCCAGTGAATTCCTGGCAATTGTGTGATTTTGGCAGCTATATAAAGCTGTACTGTGAGAAATCATAAACGTGTCTTTCTGAATGCATATTGTCAGATTGTTCACACAGATATGAAATGTTTTGTGTAATTATTAGGATGTGTTTTGTCGTATCACACATAGAGAACAAGTATTTGCAGATACTGCTATTGTTCTGAATTTTACAGCAATCTCTTTGTAGCCTTTAGACAGGTCCCACATAGGCATCTTTAATAATTAAAGTGTTACATAAATTGGGGTCATTCTCTGAATTGTACTATACTGTTCCTTACCACCAAAAACTAAAGCATATCTCACTTAAAAAACATCACTTGTGTGTTGACATTAAAAAAATACAATTTATAGAAGGAATAGTATGAAATGAAGTCTCATGCTTTTCAAAAATTGATTACAAATAATTTTTTTCTTTTGTTCCTTAGGTATGTTTTTAAAAGGTTGAACATTCGTATTGTAGATTTTTCACCAAGATTTCATTTTCCATCTGTTTTAAAACTGTTCTTAACTTAATGGATCAGTAATCGAATGGAACAGATTTCCAGGAGAAATGGGAAGATGCACTTAAAGGTTTGACAAGTGTATAGAAGGCAATGTCTTGTATTTTCCTGAATTGTGTTTATAATAAAGAAGTACCTTAACCTTGTTTTGTTAGTGTTTTGATTTCTATACTAGGTTATTAAAGAGGATGCTGAATTCATAAGTACTGTAAGCTGTGAGATGGGCTCAGATGTTTATTTCAAGATATGTGAAGATGTTATTTGTGAACTGTTACAGCTTTAAATAAAAAGTGTCTGCTTCTTACTCTATGGTGAAACAGACACTCTTGAGCAAACTTTGAGTTACAGGATGAAATGATGGGTCCTCATACAAACTGGTAATTGCTTAAAGAAAAGTATTGCAGAGCTTCATACATATGTGGTCACTAGGAGTTAAAAAACCACTTGATGACACATAATTGTAGAGCTTTAAAAAAAAGTTTTTCATCTGATCTCTCACGGCTATTTTACCAAACTGCCATGGAACTCAAGGCTGCCTTTTCTAAACAGGCACCTACCAGATGTTTTCACACTGAAGCACCCAAATTTCCCAATTTTTGCTTATTTTAGCTGGGAAAGAGTTACAAATCACATGTGTAGATGATACCCATTAAAGGAATGTTGCTTTAAAATTGAAAAACACTTCAAGTTTTTGTATGAATATTTTAGTATAGGTTCCCTCATTACATGTAAATGGAAAATACTAACTTCAGTTGTTTGCTGTTATCTACATTATTTAGGCTTTAAAATTAGGGGTGAACGTGAGACTTCTTTGCCATGTTTTATGGCTATGTACAGATAGTTATCAATGACGCCAGTATTTATTTTTCTGTTGTAAGGCATATCTGATTTGTAACAGATGAAAAGATTTTATTCTTTCATTCCTGGTTAACAAAAAATCCAATTAGTTAAATTTGCTTTCTTGGCGATCTTGTGAAATGGCTTAGGCAGAAAACGGCTCGTCATACAGCCTAGTTTATACTCTGCTTCTGCCAAAAAGAAGCATGTTTGAGCATGATGTGGGAATCCAGCATCGCGCAATTTAGTTCTGGGTGAGCACCGCATAAACTAGGCTACTATCGCTTGCAGAGAGCGATATGCTAGGCCATAGCATGACGCGTGAACGTGCCCAGCGGGTTTCCTCAAACCAGGGTTAATGGTGGAGCACTCGCCCAGTTCGCGCCTGATGGCCAGGCTGGGCGGCTGGCGCAGGCCTTCGGTCCTGACCCCGGCGGCCCCGTCTGCGACGGCCACCCAGCCGGGGGCTGCGTGGGAAGGGAGAGGCGCCAGGCCTCGCTTGCGTGGCGGAGGAGGCCCAGC